TCCAACAATAACGATCAAATAAAAGGACATGTCATAAGGATAACGGAAATGCCTCTGTATACCGAGCCGAGGCCCAAAGAACATCCAAAGCTTATCCTCAATTCACTTAATCTGCAAAAACTCCACTCCTTGGATACAGAAGTAGCAGCTGAACCATCCATCCATCTCGATGACGTAACTGATCCAGCTATATATCACACAACTATCCCCATCTACTTAATACTACTCTGTGCAGGCGCATTCATCGCTGCGCTGTACTGCTACACCAGGGGGATCGACAAAAGGCAATGAAACTGCAGGAGCCCCTACCAGTGATCCTGAAATATTGATCGCAACCCCAACACCTCGGAGTATTAACCCTAACCAAGTGAAGATGGACCACAGATGCATCTCAGCGACAATCTCGGACGAGTCCTGCAATAGTCGCTGTTCTTCGGGGGGAGGTGTTACGCAAAGCCACCTCGCCTAAATCGCAGCGTTGCATCGGCCCGACAAACATTCCACACGGCACCAATGGAGGCACGAGGCGCATGGTCAGCGGAATGTGTCGGTGACGTCAATCGCCCCGCACAATATCGGATTCCATTTTTATTAGTTTCATAATTAGATCTAACATCGATCATTTAGCACTTATTTGTAATTTTAATTAATTGTAATTTCTTTTAAATATAGTTTTTTAAGTAAATTTGCATTTTTTTGCATCCCTCGGCTGCACCCTACGTAATTAGCGTACATAGTTTTCATTATGTTTATTTTATTTATTTTTATTCGATAAGTTTTAACTCAAACACATTGTTTGAACTGGAGAAAATCAATCCCAAGGATTAGGATCATTAAAATATTGCCAAAAAATATTGTGTAATAAAAATTTGTCAAATTTATCAAAAGCTTTATTGAATAATTTACTTTTAACGAGAGCTTTGAATTTATTTTGTGATAATTCTCTAATTTCGCTTGCGAGTTTGTTGTAAAAACGAATACAATTTACATATATTTCAGGTTTATCTTCTGGAGCATGGTTGGTCGTACACTCAAATTGGTTCTGTTTCGAGTATTTTACTGATATTTATACTTATATCCAAACAGTAATCCACCATTGCGCCCTCAGCTCACACTTTGTAAAAGGGAAAAGAGCGAAATCGCTGAAAATGTGTTTCCCTCTTCCTCCTATCAACTTATTCATGTCAGTCCTATTACTGGTTGGCTGGAGGCTGCGAACTGGATGGTTTGAGAATTTTGTGCTCAAAATTCAAACCCAAAAATTATTTTATGTGCAATTTCAACGAAATTGTTCGATTGTAAAAATAATCTAGAACATGACAATTGTAGAGGCGAGGGCGCCACATACTTTACAGCCTCTACCTTGAAAGTTGTAAATCACACAATGTGAACAAATGTTTTGCTAGGAATCGAATCAAGGAAAATCGCCTTGAGAAACGGCATATTTAGTTGTTAACAGTATTTTTTTTTAATTAATCCATACTTAACCATATTATAGTTAAGCAGGGAATGTGTGGGATACATTAAGAGTTATCGCCTAATATCTAAAGCTCTTGATAAGATGTTGATAAAATAATTTCGGTAAATTGCCGAAATAGGTTTTTGAATAGTTAATCCTGATGTGTTATATTAAATATTGGGATCGATTTGTACGGATAGTTAGAGAATTTACTAAGTAATTAATTGCCTAAGTTACATAGAAGATAACACTTCGTTACAATAACACTCAGTCAAATTGCACACTTTAACTTAAAGTCTCTTTCTGTTAAATTATGTTTACCGTATGATGAAAAGGGACAGATACTTCAAATATTTATGAATTAAGGAGTTAGTGAACAAGTGTGGCCGTAGAGAGTTCCTGTAACAAATCTAGGTTTTACAAGGTTTTTTAAAATTATTATTATTAACACGTCGTTGCACTAATACAGAAATACAGTACAATTAAAATAATTAAATGAAAAGGATGGCAACTGGTGGCGGCGCTTTTTTTAAAGATCTCTTCCAGGCGACCACTGTGACAAAAAAAAAGTACAAACCTACATTTAGACATACATTTACTTTTTTTCCTGGTGAGATTAGCTTTTTAGTTTTTAGTTTATTTTGTTATATTTTTTGTAGTATTTTGTCATATTTCTTATTTTAGTTTTTTTTCCTTACTAGGGTTTCCTGGAAGAGATAGCTTGTTAGCGATAAGGCCGCCCGTTGCATCCCTTATTATTTTTAAGTATTATATCATTTGTTATTCTGTAACTGTAACGCAGTGTAAATAAATAAAAAAAATACTTGGACAAAGGTAATGGAATAAAGCACAAAGCACTGAAAACATATGTAAACAGTGAACGGACAATATAAATTTTTGTTTTCGTGAATACTTTTACATTTTTCTGTCCACGGTATCATCGACAATAACATACGTTAACTACTTAAATACATATATATATACCTACTATGTTTGATAGATAGTTCACATGTTATTACAATAATAAATTATTTGCTTATCGCTATAGGAATTTATTATCGCAAATGTTTGTCATTCAAAATTTGCTATAAATCTGTTTCTAAATAAATACATAATCAGCCGTTTTACACCGTAGGAGCGAGTGTTAGTTGGGAAAGCAAGGAAAGTAGAAAAGTGCAGAGCCGCGAAAGGAACGCACTTGAGGATTGAGAGGTGAACGCTGATGACATGTGTTGCCAGGCAAAAATAAAAGAAATCTATAATTATTTTTCTATAGTCATTGAGGTTATATATATCTATTCAACCTTGAGGTCGGGCGTTCGAATCCAGGAATTTTTTCCAATTCTGCCCCGCTATCCCTTTTACTCCATTTTCCCACATTTCTGGTGGGCGTCCTCTCTTTTTTCTTTCTTTCTTTTTAGTGGGAAGAAACGCCCACGAGTTAATTTTACAGTATACTAAACACAATACCTCAATCATAATTTTTTTGTTACGAGTTTTTATGACAAGACATTCTATGAAAAACACAGGTTTCTTTTACAGTGGTATATATATATATAGTTATACACAAAGTAACTAGGGTTAATAACTCAGTATTTATCACTTAACTCAAACTCAAAATAACTTTATTCATATAGGTAAACAAGTACACTACAACTACTACAAGAACGTCAACAAAAAAAAAGATTTCTAAATTTACATTAACTACAGGTAACGTAACGATACTTATTTTATAATAAAATAACCTAAATATTGACAGTTATTCTTTAAAATTAAGAATTCCCTTTGGCAGTGTACCTCGCTGTATAGCAATACTTATTCGAGGAAAGCACCAGCTCTGTGGTCACCGGTATTAATAAATTTTAAATAATTGTTATTATTCTTACTATGTAGGTTGATAATATTGTAAATATTGTTTTTTTTTATATAATGTGCAAACGAGCCTGCGGGACGCCCAAAAAGGGCAGTCATCGCAACCCATATAGCCCATTTTTAGTAGGTGCGTTGCCAGCCTTTGAGGGAGGACTGTATATTTGTGTAAATATATATAAATATTATTACATCACAATATGTAACTCCCTCACGACAGCTGAGCACTCGAAACGAAAATGTATATAAAAATATCCCGTTTATTTAAAGTTTTATTACCCTGTGTAGGATAACATCTTCAGGAAACCGGGCTTGCCTGAGACCCAAAAAATCGATGGCGTGTCAGGCACAGAAGGCTGAACACCTACTTGTCAATTAAATGGACAAATCATGAAATAGTTACTGAAATCTAAGGCCCAGACCTACAACGGTCTCGCGCCACTGATTTATTTTATAGATAAATATCACTTACATTTGTTAAGTTAAATTGCACAAAAACACAACACAGAATCACACTTATAGTCAAAATTGTAAACATTTTGTGTGTTCACGTACGTTAATTAAACGGAACTGTCAATTTAATCAACTAATCGACTGATAATTCTAGTAATCGCAATGATAATATATACGTATACGTCGGCAATTGAATCACTATAATATTATGGTCATGATTAATTTAGATAATAATAGTCGCGCCCCTGATTCGTAATGCTAAATCAGTAAGTTCCATATCTTCTTCTTCTCAGTCTTCACTACTGTCGCGGTAAAAATAGAAAGGAAAAAGAGTGGCGGAGAGTTTATTGCCAGTTCTTCTCTTCTGTTCTACGCCCTTGATTTGAGGGGCTTTTTTAACGTTCATAAGTGTACATTGTGTTACCTACGTATATGAATAAATGATTTTTGACTTTTTGTCACTAAGGTACCTGCTGCCCTGCCATCTCTCCACTTTGTTCGATCTATAGCTTTCTTAGAGACCTGTGAGAATCGTGACTTGGTCTAAATCATCATTATATTTTAGTCATGATTAATTGCTAAATCAGTAAGTACCATGTCTTCTTCTTATTCTGAGTCATTGCTAAAGGTCGCGTCACTGTAAGGTACCTGCTGGCCTACTAGTGCTCTTCACATTGTTCGGTCTATAGCTTCCCTTAGTGCAACTGTCATGGGGAGACCTGTGGGACTCGTGACTTGGTCGCACCAGCTTGGCGACCTTCCCCGCGGCCTTTTGCCTTTCACCTTGCTGACGACAACCAGCGTGTCCAGGTTATTTTGGCGGGCGATATGACCAAAATATGTTAGAACTCTTCTATATGAGTCTGGTATGAACTTCAGTTCATTCAAGATTGATTGGCTTGTTCTTTCAGCAGGCCGTGGTCCTAATACCAAAGAGCCTTTACACTCTGTAATTATGATAACAATCCCGACATTTTTGTAGTCGACCTTCTTCTGGCTCGTTATGCGCTATAAACGTTAGAAAACCGACTCAGTGGTTCACAGTTAAGGTAAAAATCCTGAGCAAAACGGAATAACTATAATATAATATGAGACTAAAACCCCAGAGAGTTGCAGCGTCACTGCATTACCGAATGGAACTTAATTCAATATCAACCTAAAAAGTAAATACTATACATAAATAACCTATAACTTTGTCCCTCTCTCTTCAGTCGGTAGCTCATGTGTTTTCAGCAAGAAAACATTTGGAGAGTACAATCTGTTTCCAGCGGTTTCTGTCCCTCGCCTCTCTTATAACAGTGTATAGTTTTGAGGACGATGAGTCTTTCACTTGATCGATCCATCTGATTGGTAAACGGCCACGTGATCTTTTGCCTTCTGTGATACCAACCATGATCAGTTTCTCCAAATCCGTATGCGGAAATGGGACAGGATCGATGTATTGGTGCGCTTCGTTTGACTATGTATTTACGGGAAATATGCAACATGTGATTATTGCTGGACTAGCTGTGTAGATAATGTATATATATATTATTTATATATATATATATATCTCTATATATTGTCGATGTACTGTTACTTATAGTCTAAATCTATAGATAAATTATTAACAGAAAAAGTATTTTTTCAATATACATAGTGTTATTATAATTATGGATTTGAACGCAATCCAATCAAAAACCAAAACAATCAGGATTACCATAGGGCTCTGAAAGTCAATTCACCAAAATTGTTACCCCCTGCCTTTCGGGGAAAGTTGATCCCAACGCGAAAGTTTAATTTTCAAAATATTTTCGTTTTCTTGTGTCGGGTTTTACGTCTCTTGTCGGGTCTTAATATAATGTATTGTTTTATAATAATATATAGTAATAGTAATAGTAGTACAAAATTCTCGTGTAACAATGTTCGTTCCCATACTCCTGCGAAACGGCTCGACCAATTCTTATGAAATTTTTTATACATATTCAGTAAGCCTGAGAATCGGACAACATCTTTTTTTCATCCCCCTAAATGTTAAGGGTGGGTCCATCCCTAAATTTTTATTTTTTAGACAAAACATTTTGTTCTTATGATACAGCATAAAACAATACATACCCTTAATTGTCACCCCTCAACGATCAACCCCTATTTTTTATTATAGTAGATAGTTATTATTATTGAACTAAAAAAAATGTTTCCTAGAAATAATAGACATGGCAAAACGACGTTTGCCGGGTCAGCTAGTAATATATAAATTATATATCTTACTTGTTCAAGAGAAGAATTCTTCAATCCAAAGGTAATTCCAATAGATATATCTTCTACTCTAGAAGATGGTTCAAAATTAACTTCACGCACTTTCATAACACCTGTCTCTTTTTGTATGTATGTTTTCATTTCTACATCTATAATAAGAATTATTACTACATAATGCAATTGATACCATAATTTCATTGTTAATCATTATTTACTTTTCGTATACATTATATTTTAAATAATGGAAGCTATTAAATCTTTTACGCATTATTATCCGAATCACAAACACAAATTGTCATAAACAAGATATTTAAAGTTTTAATAAAAACTCCTAAGGGCGGGAAATGAAATTGGGCGAGCGTCAGCCGCCCAGTCAGAGCTCAACTGGAGTCATGAATTAATGTGCGTAATAGGGCTGTCTATTACTAGAAAAATTATATTGAAAACTTATATGTAATTTCCATTTAAATTCTAAACTAATCTCGTGAGAGTTCAGAGATGTATGTTGTTAGTAAACAATATTTGTTTTGATACTCAACTGAATTCATGAATGGGCTATGTATTTCAGAGCAAGTGTAGTCACATACTTGGAAAACTGTAGTTTTCAGGCATTTTCAGAGCTTATTATACTCCTTTGATGAAGGAACATTTTAGAGTGAACGTGCGTGAAGAGATTGAAGTGCGAAAAGTAATCAAGTTCTGTGAAAGTGTTGTGTGCGTAATTGAAGCAATTAGTGAGTGTTTTGTGCAGTTATTAGTGTTTTTCTGCGTATTGGGTACTTTTAGTAGAATTGAAATTCTCGAAGATTAATTTGAAATAAACTCATACAGCGATTTCCGATCTCCTGGATCGTAACAGTTGAAAAGATGTCTGAATTTACATTTCACGTAAAAATCATTCATACAAATTCAACGTAAATTTTTATGTATAGGAAATTAGTGTCTCTGCATAGTAAGTTTAAGTACCATAAGTTAAATATGTCCGTGTAAAAATTGAAATATATGAAAACTCTAACGTGGATTACTAAGAATAATTGTGGTATTAATGACAGGCGCAGTACGTCAATATTTGACGTAGTCGTTTGAAACTGTCTAACTCAGTGCCGGTTTAGCCACGTAGCAAGAGTAGCAAATGCTACGGGCCCCGCGGGGCTCCAACGCCTGTCTAATCGAAATAGAAAAGTATTAATTTAGATAGGAACGTAAAATATCTTGCATACCTTTACGGCAAAGCGCTTACTGTATGCTTCACTTCCGCATAAAAATAAACTCGGCGTCGTCAAGTTTAATCGTAAAAATAAGTAGGTATTTAACTTTTTAACGTTAATTTTCAAATTTTAATTATAATCGATATATTTAGACTAGCATGTTATTTGTTCCTCCCTTCAGATTTTTATTTTTATTTAGGTACCTATACATTTATTTTGCGAGTTTACGTAGCCGAGACTGTACTTTAGCAGAATTTGTTACAGGCCCCGCGCTGGCTTAATCCGGCACTGGTCTAACTAGTGGTTAGTTACAGAATCCCACCAAGGCCGATTGTTACTACACATACGCAAGAATTTGTTGCCAATTGCCATCTTGACTCTTGTAAGTTATATTTGCTTATTTGTTTTATTTTTCGTATATAATATTGTTTATCTATGTAATCTGTTTTGGCTTTCTGTACTGTTAAAGTGTTTGTTTTATAATATTATGTATGTTAGCTGTAAGATTACTTATAATTAAATAAATAAAAAATACCTATTGAACTTATTTTGGGAAAGAAATCGACGAAATAAATAAAAAATTCAGTAAATTTTCTTTATTTTTTTTCACAGAAAAACCGCACAGCACTTCAGACATCACAAGGTAGAAATATTGACTAAATAACGTACACTTCGCTAATACTCCTTCGATCTCTCCATGAAAACAACTCCCTATCCTGCTAGCAAACACGCTGTATGTTTTTCTAGTGATAATATTAGCGAAATTCACGTGACTACCGGCCCGTAACTTGGCAAGATCTTGTTATGTCAACAAATGTTACCATCTTACCAACTTGCCAACGTACGAGCAGGTTTATAAATACATGCTTAAAACTACATCAGTCACACAATTTACAATGGTGTTAATAATCAAAGCAAAAAGGCCAATTGAACTTTCTGTATGAAATAAAAAAATTAGTAATAGGTTAGAAATTTAATAGGATGCTTATTTACACTGAAACTGAGTTGACCACTTAAAAAAAAAAATTAAAAATTAAAAAAAAAAAAATCAATATGGGTTGCCTAGCAAATTTCAGTCCAGAGTATGTTTAATTAATTTTAAAAAAATATTTTTAACTTTCAATAGTATTAGAAACAACCAAAAATATGAAGCCCATTGTATATGAAAAGTTGTTTTTAATAATTACTTATTTATGTGTATATTTTTATGTGACACTAAAGTATATACATCTTTAGTAAAGAAGATGTAAAAATGTATACCCTCATTACATATTTGAAATTCATAAATTTATCATGGTCGCAAAAAAAAATTTAATATTAAAAAAACCCCGGACTGAAATTTGCTAGGCAACCCATATGGATTATATTTATTGACATTTGGGTAAAAAAATATAAAAGTTTTTAAAAAACGGTAAAATGTGGTTCACTCACTGAACTGAGTTGGACAAAGTTACACCAAAAATATTTGTATGAAAATTGTTAGTATTGCGATATGCCAAGTGAGATGTAAAAATGTTCATACATATTTGAAATTTCATATTTCATGGTCGCAATTAAAAGCATTTGGGTAAAAAAGTTTTTAAAAATACGCAAAAATCGCTGAATACTTAGTGAAACGGTACTGGAAAACGTGTGCGTACGTATACGCGTATACTTAGTATGTGTACGTTGGCGTGCGAAACTTGCACTATGCAATAGACATACATTTTGTGCTTAGCAAGAAAACAACTGTTATTAGCGTATATATTACAACTTTCATACAAAATCATGGGGTGTTCAATACTTACTCTTCGTAAAACTATGTTATTGTCAGACCGTATACGTTCGGAGTACGTACGCCACGTACCCTTTAGCTCTATGAACGGATACATAAAAACTATTGTTAGTAAATGTTATTCTGTATATTTAAATTATATAAATTTCGTTGACAAAATAAAGTATATAATGAAATAAATAGTAACAAAAATATAATCCAAAACAACTGTATAATAAAATATTAGCACAAAAATTCGTTCAAAAATAAATTTTATCGTTTAGAAATCAAACATACCAGAGATTAAAAATTAGGGGAGTGATATCATTTTGAATGACAGATAGACGATATCGTTTCGTCTTTCGTTTTACATTGTCACACATCTCAATTGGAGTTGTTTATACAGGGAAATAAAAATTTCGCTTAGAAACTTAAGTAATACTGGTACAGTTACTAGAATACGGGCCGTATATCGGAACGTTCAACTTGTTTCAAGATACTTCTTGGACATCACAGGGTAATCACCGATTTAAAGAGAAACTATAGAGGCAAAAAATAATTAGATTGACAAGGGAAGAACGTGTCTAGTTCAACCAGTGTTTTAAAGGTTGTTAACTCAAGACTAGGTTTTGAAATATCCGAAATACGGGCCTAGATAAGTCTAAAACAAAATGGCACTACGAACAGAAGTGTGATAAATTCGTTAGGGCAAGAACTACGGATTTAAATGAAATTACCAGATTAAAACGCGAATTTTATAGAAAACATGTTTCAATCTGCAAATTATTTAACTCCAATATGTGATACTCGCGTTTAACTATTCAAATACTGTTTTAACAGTTGCGTTTCAATCAGATAAAACAGTATTTTATTCTCTATTTACATAAAAGCGTATAAAAAGTTTTCAAAAACTGTAATCGAAGTTAATAACTAAATACTTAATTAAGAGAGCTTAGAAAAAAGTTACAAAATTGAGGGTAGTTTCGATGTGGGTACTTTACAAAAAAATCAAATAAATAAATTCCTAATCCTAATTCTTATTGATATGTACTTTTGATTCGAGATTATTCAAATCAATTTGATTCATTAATAATTTTTATAGAGTGAAATTTTGAACACTTTTATTTCCATTTTTATATGAAAAATATCTAGTTAGCCATAAGTTCGTTTAAACACCCCAATGCCACGTTTTTTTAAAAATTAAGTTTTGACAAAATTTGCTATCTAGAATGTTTGAGTTAAAAATTTCACTTCCTATAAAAGCATAGTTTTCGAGGCCAAAGTAATTTTATTAACGTTGAATTATTAAAGTTTTTCATAGTGAGGGTATATTTATATGCATTAAAAAATTCATCATAATGTGCGCTGTGAACAAGACTTCCAAAAAACATTGATACAAAGTGCAGGATTAATTTTTATAATTTTTAAAACAATCTAAAAATTACAGATACGAAAGATATTGACATATCAAAGTGACGGCAGTATTTATGATAAGATTTTAATTAACACTTTATCGAATAAAACGCGAATTTATAACACACATAATAGATATTATCTACAATACTTGTAAAAAAATCCAGTAAAAATTGCCACAAACAACAGATAAAACATGACATTTAAATTTCGGCCAAAAGACTTGTATCCACGTGTTAATTTAAAACAAATCTAATCTGTGACTTTATTGTGACAAATTGTAAATTCGCGTTTGTTTCCGTTCATATTTCACATAGATTGGTCATTTTGAATATTCGTATGTATATCTTTGTGTTAAGGTATATTTTACAATGCACAAAAGTACCAGTCTTGCTTTGACGGTAACCTGGTACGAAAATTTGCGTCACGTGTGACGTCACCTAAGGTCCATACAACACAGTGTCCTTATAAGGCTGATACCATACATGAGTATGCGTAAATAGGGGTCCCTCGAAGGGTGGAGTAGCAGCTATCAGTTATCCTGGCTCAGACCCTGGGAGTACGCTGCTTGGATGCTCTCGCATACGAATTTGTATTGACTCTGGAATTAAAAACAAGTTATTTAGAAACAATTAATAAAATGGTTCCTAAGTTCCTAATATCTAAATTAATATTTATTTTATGGAACAGTAGGCAAACAAGCAAGTAGGTCACTTTGAATAGTAAAAGTAAAGTAAAAAATCATTTAATCATATAGGTAACATAATTTACACTTATGACTCGTCAGTACATATTAATGCTTCTAATTTTACATTTACTGCCAGTTCTCAAATCAAGGGCGTAGAATGGGAGAGAAGGACTGGCAATAAACTCTCCACCACTCTTTTTAATCGCCATTTTTTTTGTTTTACAAAATGTTTCTAAGGAGCTGCAACCATTACACCATGTCCCATGTGACATTTTAAGTAATTAATAACAATAACATAAATTAAAAACAAAGATTTGTCCTCTATCAGCAGGAGGCATGGTGAAATAGGAGCACGCACTTACATTCTCGTGGGAACAACACGCAGTGTAATAAAGTGATAACCGACACCCATGGATAGCTGCAACGCCGGGGGTGTGTTGCCGACCTTACAGGAAATGGTACGCTCTTATCTTGAAGGCCACTAGGTAGAATCGTTTCGGAAATACCTCTACTGGCAGCTGGTACCACAAAGAGGTGGCACGCGGAAAGTGCCTTAAAAAGAGCTGTGTTGTGGAACGCCAGGCGTCGAGATGGAGGATGGAATTAAATTAAATCCCTATATGAATAAATTTCCGAGAAATATGCGGACGCACATACGCTCACGAAATTTACAAATTCTCGAAAACCTAAATATGTATTAACCATAGACGAATAACCTAATTTTGGAACTCGGTTAAAGATAATAATCGCATTAAGTCCATAAAATTTATGGAAATTATTCTGATTATATGAATTATTCTGAATTTCTCGCACTTCAATCACTGTATGTGCTGAGTTTAGGTAATTTTTCTCTCATCATAGAAGTGTGTTGTTTGTGCCTGGGCTGTGCACGTAGGCCCTACGTGCGCATTCTTTCTATGTGCATTTAACACTCGCTCGCATTGTGAAGGAAATCTTTGAAAGAAAACTTATCTTAGATCGTATTAGGCACAGAAGGCTGACCTACTTGCCTATTAAGAAAAAAATATCCTGAAACAGATAAAGAACTCTGAGGCCCAGAACAAGAGTTGTAGAATGTGACGGAAAATTGATGAACGATGTTTCTTCATCGGTCGTCGAGGCAGAATACGAAATTCTACCCATATCACTTCGACGTCCGTCGTTCCACAACTGAGAGTTGTTTAAGGAAGTTTTTGCCGCGCACCACCACTATATGGAATCAGCTGCCCACTGAAGTATTTCCGAACCAATTCGACTTAGGGTCCTTCAAGAAAAGAGCGTACCAATTCTCAAAAACCTGGCAACGCACTTCCAAGCCCTCTATCAATGTGAGTGCCTGTGGGCGGCTGCATCACTTAACATCAGGTGAACCCGTTTGCCTCGTTACATAGAAAAAAAACTAAAACAAAAAACTTATATTTTCGAATTATTTTTGGATTATTCTCACCGCATTCTGTATACACATCGGCCGTTGGGTCCTCATAGTCCTAACCAGATCCAGAGGGTATAAAGGCTGTCGTCTCGCGACGAGTTCCAATGCTGTTTCAGCCAATATGAGCGCGCCCGTCCGGCCCACGCCCGCGGAACAGTGGACGATCATTGGCGGTTCCAGTATACGCTCTTCTTCAGTCATTTCTTCCACTACGGTTGGTATTACTGGAATATTTAATGGTATATACATGTCAGATTCCCGACAAACTTTGGTTTTTCTACAAAAATTTTGTATGGTATAACAAAGATTGCTCGTGCACTTTCGAAAGCTACCTAAACTCCCTACCCACCCACCCACTAAAATGGGCGACCATGGGCGGCGATGACTGCCGTTTCTAGGCCTTAGGCTCGTTTGCCCCCGTATGCTATAAAAAAATACTTAAGCTAAATTATGCTATTGATTTAATGATGTCCAGTATAAACAGTAAAATATTATTAAGAGTAATATATATGGAACATGGCTTTAAGAAAATAGTTATGAAGTAAAAATAAAAATGTTTTTATATATTTTTTTTTATATAAGTCTTTATCTTGCAATCAGTCAGCTAGACTATGAGCAGATGTGTTGAGAGCTGTTAGACGTTCAGAGCAAAATCTCCATCGAGACTGCTCCTCTCTTTCAACCGTGTCTATCAAGACTTAGGATTTGTCGCCTTTGATGTTTTTATATGAAAAAAATTAAAATATAGATTTTTTATAGGTACGTCAGTCACGTGACAGTAAAATTTTAAATAATGTTTTCACTTGTTCAATCCTAATACTGTCTTGGGGTTTAGACAAGAAGACAAACTCGTCTTGATCGACAGATAATATTATTGTATAATATAATGCTGATGCGACGCCATCTTGTCTAGAAAAGCGATTTGGTAGGTTCACGATATTAAAAATGTTTAATCGTATATTTAACTATTAACAGAATTAAAAATAACCGTGTCTGTAGGTTCCAATAATAAATAATCCGAAATGGTACAAAATGTTGTCAAAAAGCTTTTTGAAGCAGTCATTAAGAGCCATAATTTACGGAATTTTCATTCTTTATTTCTTTGTAATAAGGTTTAAATTATGACAGAGTGATTTTTAAAAACATACCAGCTCGATGGTTCCTGAGTTGCGAACAGAGCCGGGTGAAGTCAATGAAGGCAGCGGAGTCCTCTGGTACTCCGTGGTCCGGCCACGCCGTGTACTGTAGCTGAGTTATCGCACGACTCGCGCCGCCATTGTCCTTTAATAAGTGAAAACTACAATCAACGCAGCGCCATTGAGGTTATGGAGAAGATCCGTCGTGGGATTTGAGGTCGCAGTGTTAAACCAGTTCTAAAAAGACCAGCAACGCACTTGCAAGCCTTTTGTCCATAGGCGGCGGTATCACTCAGCATCAGGCGAGCGTCTGCCCGTTTGCCTCGTTATATTTGATAAAAATGTTCTTAGGTTGGCAACACTGTTATGACATTATAGTTCGTCACTATTTTTGTTGTTTTCTTTTTGTGAATATCTGAATTGAATTGAATTAGGTCACATTTGTCAGGCTTGTTCTATCTCTTTTCATCACAGAGTAAACACTATTTGACAGAAAGAGACAAAATAGTACTTCAGTTACTACTGAAGTGAAGTAAGTTACAAGTAACCCGAAAATGGCAATTAAAAGGTATTTATTGGCCAACCTTGGAAGTGATTGGCTATTTAAGATAGATATAATACTATGTATAAGGTATAAAAATGTTTTTTTCCCTCTCTGTTGTAATGTTTTCGTTTCGTTTTTTTATATTAATTGTATTTTTTTAAATCTTTAGTTAAGGAATTTAAAATATATTTTTTGTGTTTTCTTTACATTTACTTTATATATAAAATAATCAAAAAATAGTTTGTCACGACAAAAATTACTCAACAAATACTTATAATTTAAATTAATTTCATATAAGTAGCGCCATCTATGACATGACACAATTTGTCAAATTAAGTTATATTAAGATTTTTACGAAACAAACCTTCAAAACCAATTCCCGTCTGATATAATGTCCAAGATTCTGTTCGCTATTCGTCAGTACCGTCAACGAGTTGCTAGTCTTGAGCGGGTTGGTCCCAACTTTGGGCCAATATTGGTGGCACTTCGCCCTACCGCGCTCCGCCAGAACCGTCAGCATCACTATCAGACTGCTCTCGCTCTCCCAAACCATTTGCCAAAAGTCCCCAACTGTCGAGGCTAGAGGTCCTGTTGATAAAAAAGTTTTAACCTTAAATTCCTAGAAATACTAGAAATAAATTAATTTATAGGAATAATTTTCCGTAGCATACATACTACTACTTCATCAAAATCAGTTTGACAGTTTTTGGTACAGTTACTGATTAAAATAAGAAAGCATCTTCCCGATTTTTTTATGTTACAGGAGGCAGACGGGCTCACCTGATGTTAAGTGATACCATTGATGATGATGATGATGTTAAGTGGGAGGAGACACTCGCACTGCCAGAAGGCTCAGAAGCGCGTAGCCGGCCTTTTAAGAATTGCTACGCTCTTTTCTTGAAGGACCCTAAGTCTAATTGGTTCGGAAATACTTCAGTGGGCAGCTGGTTCCACAAAGTGGTGGTACGCGGCAGCAATTGCCTTAAGAATCGCTCAGTTGTGGAACGACACGTCGCGGTGATACGGATGGAATTTCGTATTCTGCCTTGACGTCTGCTGATGAAACTCAGCTGCAGGTAGTCCGAACAACCTCTCTTAACACTCCTCTTGGTAAATATGACGATATGAACAAGTTTCCGAGGAATTTTTTTTGTAAATTTCTTAAATTGCAAAAATTCTAAAGAAAATTGCTTTACGACTTTGTTTCCCGGGGCAAGCGGATTATTTGCAAAATTACAAAATTTAGTGGATTTAATATTGTGGCTATATTTATTATGGCTGTTTATTCATACATTTTTCATAAATTAAAAATAGTTCCAAATACCTTGAGTGGCAATGTATGTGAGTACAAGATCAGAGTTCGGAATCTCCATATTAATAAATGAAGCATTTATATAATCTCCTGTGGGTCCATTTTTTAATATCACCCGAGTCGAATCATCTAGAAAGAAAATACATATATTTTTATTACATCTTTATATATATAAATCTTCTGTGTCTTTGTATATGGATAGGCACTTCGAAGAGAGTCCAATTATAACCCCAAGCAGGAAACCGTAAGAAAAGTGAGGCCGTCCCAAGCAAACCTGGCGTACAGTTGCAGATGAGGCAAAGAGAGTTGGAAAGACTTGGAGCAAGGTGAAATAAGAGGCTCAAGAACGCGATGGACTCACTCTGGACGCCATCTGCCAAGTGTCAAGTGTCTTTATAATGAAATGTTTTTGCGTGTTCGAGAATGGCGTACAACTGTCGTGTGTTTAGGACGTCTGTCAGGCCACGTCTGTATAACATTTTTTATAGAACTGAGGGCAAAAAATAATTAGAACTAAAGTGAAAAGGATTAGAACTAAGGCGAAAACAATTAGAACTGAACTGAAAATAATTAGGACTGAAGAGAAAATTATTAAAACTAAAGAGAAAATAATTAGAAATGAAGTGAAAATAATAAGAACTGAAGAGAAATGACTAGAACTAAAGAGAAAATAATTAGAACTGAAGAGAAAATAATTAGGTCTGATGTGAAAATAATTAGAACTTAAGAGAAGATGATTAAAACTAAAGAGAAAATAATTAGAACTTTAGTGAAAAGGATTAAAACTAAGGCGAAAATAATAAGAACAAAAGTGAAAAGGACATTTAAAGTTTTTCTAATTATAAACGCTATTTACCAACACATAGCGAGAGATTATTTATAACTCATTGGAACTAAGTGCTAAGTTCTTAAAAATACTTACAAGGAGCGATATCCCTATACCGATTCTTGTTAACATTATTCGGTAACTTGGCAACCGCAGACTCTTCAGGCAATCTCCGTAATAACGTTTCATACTGCCGTAAAGCCGCACCACTCGCCAAACCATCTCCCAGCAGAAGCATGGACTGTTCCAGTGCGTCTCCCTCGAATTGGCCTGATCCGAGTGGGACGAAACATACCGCCGGTTCCTCTGGACCCGTCTCTTCGGGTTCGTAGACCGCTGAAAGAGAGTGTGTTATAAATCGTAATTAAACTTAAATTAATTTTTTCGTTGAGGCCATTAAATGTTACCTAAACCAAAGACAATATTATTATTTTAAAAGCTTTATACGGACACAAACGGGTATTTTTACTTTATATAATTGATATATGTAATAGCAGTCGTCTATTATAAATCATCGTAAAACGAAGGATGGCTAACACCAGAAAATTAATAATACAGTGGAATCTCTATAACTTCGAGATACATAACTTAACTGTTGAAATTTCGACTTACAGAGGCGTGATTTCGAAGTGTAGAGATTTTTCGATTTGTGTCGAATTTGAATAACAATTCAACTTAAGTTTTGAAGTATATTTACATATTAAAACGAGTCTCCGTTTTAAAATTCGAGTTATTGAGCATAAATATGTATTATCAAAACTTCGTAGGTAAATAACATTTTGAGTTACAAAGTGTAAATAATTCGAGATACCGCGTTTTTAGTGGTTGAGCGGAAGGGAATGGTAATTTTTGAAGTTGTACTTTTTTAGGCGCGTTATGAAAAATTGATGAGAGTGAAATTTTACGATTGCGCGCGCACCTATGACACAAAATTGGCAGTGTGATATAGGTGCGCGAGCGAGATGGGAATAAGACAAACTACAAGTAAAAGAAATAGAATATGCGTGAAGCTAACTTCACGCATATTCTAGACTTAGCAGCTAACAAGAATTTTGAATGACCATGACAATTGACATCTGACAATGACATTTACCTTTTAAACAAATATAGGAGTTTTAATTATTGTTTAAAAATTAATAATTATATACCTAGTTATTTTCATTATACAAAATATTTGTGAAATAATATAAAATATTTAGGGGAAAAACTGTGCTAACCTTCGCTGAGTGCTTCAATACAATTGAGGTTAACTATCCGTATGTATTATCGAGTATTATTGTTGATTAAAACTGAAACATGAACCATTATTCATTGCTTTTGTTTATTGCGTTTGTTACAGCAACCCTTTTAGAAATATTCTACGACCCTATATATCAATAATTGAGAACAAAGATTTAAGACGAATACTAATAAGGAGAAAATGAAGGTTGGAGCGATAAAAGAGAAGTAAACATTTTAATAAGTACCTGCATCTCAAAAAAATGACCACATTATTTAATCAAAACATCAGATTTAATCTAGCAAATATAAGGACAAGAGACAAAAAACAATTGATGAATAGTGGAAGTGCACTAAATTGAATACAAAAAGAGTTGTCATCTTATCGCCGTGAAACATCAAAAACTGGAGGTGGAACAAAGCCTTCTCGAGAAAATGGTTTGAATAGATTTCAATGAATTTGATTGTGATGGTGTGAGGTAGGAATGTTAATTATAAATATGATGTATGGTGAGTTAAGGTTCAACCTTTCAAGCATAGGCATATGCTTACAACATTACTTTATTCCCCTACAGGGTAGTTAGAGATATTGTAATACCTCAAAACATCCATGTTGCACTTGTAGTACCGAAACTCTGTTCTGAGAAGTGAGCCCATTCCCACTTATAATGGAAGTGGGTATAATACACCTTAATACCTGAGTGCGAACCACTCACCATGATACTTAAATTAATAGATGTTATTTATATATTTCAGGTTATTACAAATAAAATCATTTTGGAAACAATTGATATCCCAAAAGCAAATAAAGCCAACAATGACAAGGTAATAAATCAGTTTTGACATAACTTGAATACTAAAAAAGCCAAACAAAGGTGTGCACAACAGTGACAACATAACTTAACAATTTCATTATTTTGTAGGATTAAAGAAAGGTTAAAGAAAATCATGTCGAACTGAACAACAAGAATCCCCAAACAACTCCAAAGAAACCTACAAGGAAGACACCGGTATTATATTTAAATTATCTCTATCTCTAAATAGAATAAAAGAAAGTTGCTATCCAGGTCTGTAGCATGTGCTACAAATTATATTATTAACACATTTATATAATTATATTAATATAAATGTGTTAAAAATTTATAATATGAATTATAAAAATTTTAATTTTGCATGGACAGAGCTTAAATTAATATTCTCTTATTTGTTGCAGAAAGAAGTAGTTTTGGAGAAGCCTCGTAGATGCACAACCAAGTAATGATTAATTTAAAATTACAAACCGAAATTTATGAAACATTAGAGTCACTTAAAAATAAATAGTATAATGAAATAAAAATGTTTTAAAGATAAATAGTGTTTTATTTGTTTAATGTAAGAGAATAATAATAAATATTTATTTAATTAATTTTTCAAATGTAAACTGAACTTTATTGACTTTAATGACTCTTTTCCAGTCTTTGATTATTTAATTGTAATTAATTATTTGCATGCAATCAAAAACTATTTTTAATAATGCCAAAGAAGTATAACTTCTTACGCGCGTACATAAGTACACGCACCCTTTTTTCGACTTACTGAGGATTTTGACTTAGGGAGCGTTCAACTATTACGTAACGAATTTTAGGAGGGGGATCCTTTTGTAAAACGTTACGAAGCGGGGCGGGGATTGAATTACGCGTTATGGTAAATATTATTTTCGACTTTCCAGTACTTAACACAATTTAATGGTAACTTTTAGGTATAAAGAGTCACTAGGTGGTCACGAAACGTTTTACTATACTTAGGTACAGAGAAACGTTACGGCGAGTATAAAATTCACTATTTGAATGGTAATCATTTAAAAAATACGTGACAGAATTGGTTTTTATCTTAATTAATTAATGATTAATTACTTAATTTGTTTTCTGGGGTTTAGCTTGACGTTGATTTAACGCCTAAATTTATTCAAAAAAATGAACATAATATTTCATAAAGCAAACATTCAACTTACACGTTTATAAAACAAAGCCTTAAAAAAACGTGTTTACACGTATGTACACGCGTTAGAAGTTATACTTCTTTGGCGTAACCAAATAAACATCTTTTAAAAATTTGATTCTACGTTTGTAGAAAAAACGACACTAACAATAGAAAAAATTTACTCTCATCATTTTTCCCTAACGCGCCAAAAGAAGTATAACTTCAAAAATATATTTAAATACTATAATAATAATTACCGTTAGGTTTCACCAACAATGTTAGAACACCCTTGGTATTTCTAATCATTTGCACCACTTGATCGTGAGTCATTTCATCGACATCTTTGCCGTTTATTGATATCACCTGAAATCATTTTATAATAATCACTTTAAATTTATTTCAAATATCAAGACAAAGGGTAGGTAGGTAGGTAGGTAGGTAGGTAGGTGGGTAGTCTTAATCATTCTAGTTACCTATTCTATTTATTTAAGTTTTACATAAACATAAGTTATTTAATACCCCGATAGTCGGGGAATTTGCTACAAAAATATTAAAACAATATATAATTGTAGGATATTCCATTTAACGAGGCAAGTCCCTCATCACCTTAGTTCAACCTTCAGACTTCAATTCATGTTTTTATACGTCACAGATCAGCTACTACAGTCTATATTCTATGGACACCCATGTTAGTAGGGGCATTCGGGCTTTTAGGGAGGGGTATGATATTTTATTTAGAGGTTACTGCGTATTCACATCTCTCTTACGAGATCAGTGACGTAACGTTAGCGCGTCCGGTGCAGCCGGTACCCGTTAGAGTAAGACAGGCTATATAGGTGTGTTAGTCTGAGTCTGGTAGAGTATAAGACTGAATTAATATCAAAGATAAAACTTGACTTAATATCAAACAAAAAAAAATACCGCATAAATAAATAATTATAATTGCATAAGTTGAAAAAAATGCTATGCAATAGATTTACCGTGGCAGTCCCCGAGTGCTACACGCTTTTAAGCTATTGTAAAGATTTTATCGCGGGCTTTGTGCGCGGCGACCGAATCAAGAAAATCCGTAACGAAAATAAAATACGCGTTAGAGCGGAACAGAACGCATACTGCGTCTCACATCGTTCTGGTTTATTATGGTTGTTTTTTTTAACACCGTTTTTTGTATCTACTTAATTTCGCTGGACGTGTCCACATGGAATAGGGACGGAGCCGCTTTTCATATTTTTGTATGTACCAGGTACCTACCTCAATTTGTATTAGTACTTGTCCTAATTAGGTCCAAATAAAAAAAATACCTGATCTCCTTCCTGCAAATGTGCCCTTGTCCTTGGCGCAACCCTCGAAACTAACACAGGCGTATTATTCCCTCCGCCGCGGACATTGAATCCGAATCGGCCATCCGGTCCCGCACTGAGTCGGACGCAGACAGCTTCACTATCCTGTTCGGGTTCCGCGGCCGATTCCGATTCAGATTCGTCGACATATGACAGCGGGACGCGGAGAGCGAGAGATCGCTCCAGAAATCCTCCATCGCTGCTGTTGGAAAAATATACTTAAAACGGTTGCTTACATACGAGGCGAGTTAAGAACTGCCAATAGCTATACAAAAATTATAATTTTTATTTGATTTATGAAAATTCTCGCCCATTGGGAAACATTGCACTAACTACTACTAAAAACTCTGAGTATTATAACAATTTCTTCAAGTTTATTAAAGATAATAATGAACATTTTTTATTACGTACAAAGTTGTTAGCAGATAATTCATTGCCAAAATAGGTAAAAAATAGATAGGAAACATTTGCGTCAAAAGTTCTATCAATAAATAAAATTTGACTTGTTACATTATTTTTCCGAAGTAAATTGTATCCCTCACGTTTCTTATTGAAAGCGAAGTCATGTTTTCTAACCATACTTGAACATTTCCTGCCCTGGCCCTAACAGGATTCTGTGTCCCTCTATTTCTACTGAGCCACTTACTCGTGGTCAATTCTATCAATAATGTTTAAATATAACTTTTTTGATTGATTTCAAATTACATAACTCTGTTTTGAGCTATTGTCAATTGTCAGACGTTGGTAAATACCAATTTAGCGACGTTAGATGGCGTTATCATCAAATCGTCTTTAATTTGACAGGTCTCGGTGACCAATACGTTCGTAATTTAGTCATTGAAATGTTACAATTTGAGGGCCAATCTGAACATTTGTTAGAGGACGCAATTTTATTTATGGGACATGTATGGGGGTCTATAGAAGTTAACTCCAAATTTGTGGGGTACAGCGCCACCGTTGTTCCCGGCCGCCATCTTGGAAAAAGGGGTGAAACTATCCATCTACAACAAAATATATTTTTTGCCTAATAACTTCTTTCCTATCAACCAGTTTTCCTCATAAAGAAGGTCCCCTTGGCAAAGGTTGTTAAAGGGCCGTACATCTTTTTTGGTCCTTCGAGACGGATATATGGCGTAATCTCACAATGCGAAGAAAAAACTTACGGCCAAGTACAATAGTTAGTGATTATTTTTGTTTATTTTGTTGGAATTTTGTGTTATTAAAAAATGTCTTATCTGGAAGGGCAACTGGAGGCGCTTTCGAGCGATCTCTTCTAGGCACCCATATAACTGTTAAAACGAAGAAAATGCAAATCTTCTTTTCTTGGATGAACATAAGGTTAAAATAAATAAATAAATTTCTTTAATTCGTTAAAATTTACTTTGATAGTGGTTTGTTTTAAAAATTTCCTAACTTAATTTCATTAGAAATAGAAGATACCAAAAATAATGCAACCTATGGGTGCTATACGTCCCAAATTCGATTCCCAGGTAAACAATAATTGTTTCGAGTCGAAAAGATTATGGAAATTGGGACATACTCTTCATTCTCCAATGGCGGTGCGTCACTCCAGGCCTGTCTTGGCGGCGGTTCCCCGTGACCCGTGACTTTAGACCCTCTAGCTGATGAGGTCACGACCAACGCGGGAGATTCACCCGCTGATCGGTCACGATTACGTGAACTGCTACGTCTGAAAGGTAATACTACTTGGTTAAAACACGTTTTGCACACAACTTTTGCAGATTTGATTTTATAGTTAATAGAGTTACAAATACTTGGAAAAGATACTAAATTTCAATTTCAAAAATTCTTTATTTTGTTGCACAAAAATTTATAGTGCTAGATATCCAGTGTACATTATTTCCTGGAATGTAACATACTTATAACTATAAACGTTTTTAAAGCCGTTTTACTTTTTAAAAACGTATAAAATAGATAAAATTAAAGTTATAATGTTTCGAAAGGTTTTAACAATAACAAACTATACGTATATTAAACAACGAGGTAAGCTAACTGGGAACTATGCAATCTTTAGATAAGATTTGCATTTTTGACATGAAAAAGATACTGGTCACTGTCAGAAGTAATGAAAAACAGAAACTTGAAAATATTTTACAAGAGTAAAGTATTTGATGCCTGTATATTACCGTGCCTGATATACGCATGTCAAACCTGGTCACTCACTGATAAACAAGAAAACAAACTAAGAGTATGTCAGAATAGTATCGAAAGGAGTGTTCTAGGTCTTAAATTGAAAGATAGAGTAAAACTAGAAGAAATAAAGGACATGACGATGTTTAGAAATGGTGTTATTTCTAATAAAATATTGAAATGGAAATGGACGGGACACATTATGATAGAAGATAAAGATATGTGGACGAAGAAAGTGACGGAATGGCTTCCTCGCTATGACAAAAGAAAACGAGGAAGACAAATAAAAAGATGGGAAGATGCTGTGCGAAGAGCAGCTGACCCTATGTGGCTACGCAAAGCTAGACACCGAGAAGAGTGGAAGCTCTTAGAGGAGGCCTGTCCAAGGACAAGCTGTATTAACTGAAATTAACCGGCTTGCTGATGAATTATTAGTGTTTATTATTTATTTATTTTTAGTGTTAACTTTTTAGTAGGTACTTCACATTTTTATGTAATAGTAATAGTCATTATAAGGCAATTGAAATGGCGCAGAACCGTGCACATGACGAGAGATAGCAGGTTGAAATTGACAAAAATTATTACAGAATGGCATCCGCGAGGTGGAAAAAGGAAATGAGGAAGACAGAGAAAGGAGAGAAGATGGGCAGACGATATATAGAGAATAGGAGGCACAACTAAGACAAGAAGAGCTAACATTGGAAAATAATGGAAGCAGCTGGAGAGGCGCTGTATACAGGACACGCTAATCACCAAAATTGATGACACATCACATGTATTAGGGGGGGGGGGGGGGCCCACAAAAAAACAAAAAACCCCCCCGGGCCCCCCCCCCCCAAAAAAAAAGAAAAAAGGGGGGGGGCGCGGGGGGGGGGGGGGGGGGGGGGGGGGGGGGGGGGGGGGGCCCCCCCCCCCCCCCCCCGCCGGGGGGGGGGGGGGCGGGGGGGGGCGGGGGGGGGGGGGGGGGGGGGGGGGGGGGGGGGGGGGGGGGGGGGGGGGGGGGGGGGGGGGGGGGCCCCCCCCCACACCCCCCATGGTTTTTGGGGGTGGGGGGGGGGGGGGGGGGGGGGGAGGCGCGCCCCAAAAAAAAAAAAAAAAAAAAGGTTGGGGAAAAAAAAAAAAAAATAAAATTAAAAAAAAAAAAAAAAAAAAAAAAAAAAAAAAAAAAAAAAAAAAAAAAAAAGGGGGGGGGGGGGGGGGGGGTAAAAAAAACCCCCCCCCCCCCCCCTTAAAAAAAAAAAAAAAAACCAACCCCCCCCGAAAAAAAAAAAAAAAACCCCCCCCAAAAAAAAAAAAAAAAAAAACCCCCCGGGGGGGCCCCCCCCCCCCCCCAAAAAAAAAAAAAAAAACCGGCCCCGGGGGGGCCCGGGAAAGGGGGAAAAAAACCCCCGGGGGGCCCCGGGAACTGTGGGCCCGGGGGCGAAAGCCATATGGATCGCCCGTGAATGGCCACCATTAGATTAAGTTAGGTTATCACATATAAGTGATACAAGTGTTTACATATATTGCATTGTGGTGTCAGCAATAATGGCTTAATAATAATAATAATAAAGAGCATACAAACTGTTACAATTATTATCTCACCTAACAAAACTCCGATTACTCGATCTAGACCGCCTCGCATCTTCAAGAGCCTGCGTTTCAGTCCTAGCTACTGTTGGGGCTGTGACCCCAGCTAGAGCCCCTAGAGCTCCCAAAAGGGGCCTGCGACGTGGAGCTCTGAGTCTGAAGAAGCCATGACGCTCCACGCTGCATCGCCAGAGGGCCTTCGCCGCGCGTCCAGAACGCATATTGAATCCTAATACCGTGTCGTAGGATTCAGACTGGAAAATATATATATGTATATAATTTGAAGGATATATATATTATATACACAGGACATAGCCAATGTCCGGCATGTCCGATCAATCCATATTCTTGGATTTCTTGTTTTTCTATACGGACTAAATACAGCCAAACCAGCGCATAGTATTTTACCGAGGGAAGGGAGCATCTTAGATATAGCTACAGATAGATTTCTGTTCTTTTTAAATATTAATATAAAAAAAAACAGATTTGTTTTAAATTGAGGTAATCATCCCTTTTGTGATACATTATTTCCTTATTCAAGAAATAACTGTTTAATGACGTTAATTAAGCATACGATTTTCCTTAATTTTAGTCAATAAATCTTTACAATGACAAATAAATGTTTTATTAAAATAAAGAAAGACATCGAGAAAATGTTAAGTATATTAAGATAAGCTATTTATAACTATCTTCTACACTATCGGAATAATGGAAAAAATTAAATCAAATTAGAAACTGACATTAATAAGTATTGTTAGCCAAAAATTTATGATTTTTTATCTAGAAGTTCTAGATTTAATTCCTATCTTATAATATAAATTGTTAGCTTACGAAAAAATTAAAGGTTTTATTTCCAAAATCTGTATCCGTATAACTTGTTTGTGTATGTGTTTAACTTTTCTTACCATGTAATTTACCCTAACTTTGGTAACTAAACTAAACTATTTAAAATAATATATTCATTAACAAGAAATGTACTTACTGATTCTCGCTTTAGTTGTATGAAAAACTGTTTCTTCTTGAAGGAAATCTTGACAATTTTACTCCAAGAGAATGTGTTGACTCGAATATTATTTTGAAAAACCACAATGCCAATAGAGGTCACTCCAATAAGGATATCCTTTCCGCTGTAATCCTGCAATTTTATTATTAATTAATTTCAATCTATGTCAAATTCGTAAAAAATAAATTAAATCAGTGGCGTGATCATTTGCCAATCTAATGGGGAAAAAGGTGATCAGCCTCCTCTGCCTAACCCAGGATGTCGACTTTTTGGGTCTAAGGCAAGCCTGCTTTTTTCCTTTCATCGTTCGAGTAATGTTAAATGCGCACATAGAGAGGAAGTCCATTGGTGCACAGCCGGGGCACGAACGTGCGACCTCAGGAGTGACAGTCGCACGCTGAAGCCACTAGGCCAACACTGATCATTTTGTTCAAAATAAATATTAATAGAAAGCCATAAGACTGGTTTTGTTTTTATGTGTATATAGCGACGCTGAAGAGCGCGCATCTTCTGGACTTAAAACCAAAGATGTTAGTTTGACGTTAAAAACAATACCTTAGCCGAGTGGGACTCCACACCATAGCAATCAAGCCTCTTAGCGTGCTCTAAAAAGTTTGCCTCAGCATCTGCTGGTGACTGGCCTTTGTGCAATTTATGCAACTCGCGAATACGACGTTCGTCCTCCGCACTTTGTTTGGGAATAAGGCACAGTTCTGAGAGATAACTGTTTGTATGCTCTGTCGTATTGTAATCTCCTAATTCCGCTAGAAAAGATTAAAATGTGATCTCCAGGTGAGCCAAGGTAAGGCAAGAATTTTTGTTTTAACACACTGCGTCATGCAATTTTGGAGATTATTGACTCCCCCCCAATGTAAAACGTTTCGTGACCACCCAGTGACTCTTTATACATAAAAGTTACCATTATGTGGTGTAAAGTAGTGAAAAGTCGAAAATAATATTAACAATAACGCGTAATTCAATCCCCCCCGCATCGTAACGTTTTACAATACGACCCCCCACCCTAAAAAATTCGTTACGTAATACTTGAACGCTCCCTAAATAGTGTTAAAGGTATATAATTCATTAGCTGCATCATATTAGGCATTTCCAATGCTACAGCTTCAATATAAATTGTATTTGCTTGGTTTAAAAAACATTACAGCTGTCATACCGTACTATCACTTAAACAAATCAACCAATCAATATAGAGATGGAAAGCTTTGCTCTTCTAAATCTAAATCTAACTTCTGACAAAACTTGCATCATTATTAAAATGATTTGCACGGTTCCTTGAAACAAATAGTAAAATAATTAATATACTAATCACATACAAAATGCTTATTAAATTCTAAAGAGAGGGACTGTAATTCAAACAATTTGGGTTATCACCACGCTTATGAAAATTTATTATATAGAAGTTGCATTTGAAAGATTATTATTACCTTGCACAGTAAAAGAAGCGAGCAGAAGAGCGGTGTTTCTCGGAGCAATCATGCGACCATCCAGCAATAACTTTCTCAATTGTAAGCAGAGTAAATATCTCGTGAACTCCTCAGCAAGTCTGCACGGTTCTGGAGGGTAGAACCTGACAGAAAGCCAGAACTGAGCGTTGACACCAACTTGTTTCTTTACTGATTTACTGCTATCCAACCAGCGCTGAAAATGTTTGTTACAATCAGGATAATTCAAATGATACACAAATACTTTTTGGTGGGACAAATGAAGGATTCATTTACCTGAAGGCATATTAATATTATTTTCTGTTCCTTGTCTATTTTTAATACTTCTTTGTGCAAATGCAAATAACTATATATTTTCATACATTTAATATGGAGATTATGGTTGTGAGGTACACATATATTAAATCAATGTAATATTTTTTTGTTTATTGGTCGGCATTAGGCATCCGATTTAAATATAGTTTAATAATCTATTGTTATATAAATTAATAGCTAAGTTATGCATTCGCAAGTCTATGTTTTACTGAATGATATTCTTTTAATAGCAACACATATAGCAACACTTAACAGCAACACACAGTATGACCAAAACCCTCTTTAAGCTACGCAAAAAAACTGAAATGGAAGTGGGCAGGACATGTTGCCCGGCTAACTGATCATAGATGGACTAAAAAAGTAACTTTCTGGAAAGGCCCACTAGGCAAAAGAACAAAAGGTAGACCTATTACGCGATGGGAAGACGACATTAAAGCGATAGCTGGTCGAAATTGGAGTGAAGTGGCCGAGGACAGAGATAAATGGGCGTCACTGGAGGAGGCCTACACCCAACTTGGGGTTCCAGTAGATTAAGTATTTATACTAATATATATTTTTAACTAATATAGATTAATAACATGAACTAACACTAACAATAAATTGTAAGAAGTGTAAACTTATATAATACTGGAAATAAAAGGCTTTTTTATTTTTTATTTTTTTATTTTTTTTATTTTTATTTTATTTTTATTCTTTTAATAGTCAATTAACTGGCTTTATAGTTTCTTATACTTTCTATTTTTTCCAACGCAAAAATATATTTTTCTGGTAATTAATCCACAGATATTATTATGTCACAGAAGCAGTTATATTAAATATTAATAATTTACTATTAATATTTAATAATTATCATTTATTAGAAGGAATAACATTACTTAGAGTGATAGCGCAATTGGTGAAAGTATGAAATTCATATAAAAACTAAGATTGTATGCGTGAAATGACCATAAATTTATTCAAATGTTTAATGATATGTGCAAATGTGCACATTTTTTACATAATCGATTCCTAGAATGCAAGTTAGCAATCCTATAGAAGATTATTGTTACTTTTAATTGGCTGCGTTTACTTTAATTGTAACATTTGTATTTATTTTGGCAGATTCTTTGTATCAAACCCAAATTCCACTTAGGTCACCCCTAATTACCTATAGAAACCAGACGCAATAGAAATAACTAAATTTTTAATAACCTATTTATTGAAAAAGGATAGTATAAGCTTTATACGATCATAATGACCAAATAACAGGGAGAAATCGCAGGGCTACTTACTATTAATAAGACATATAAATTACTTACCACACACTGTTAACTTTATTTGAAGTTATTCTACAAATTAAACATCTTAATACCATCACTTTAAACTAAATTATAAACATGAATAGACACACCTTTCACCTATATATACTAAGTGAAAAGTCTTTGATTGATAAGAATTCCTTAAACTACTAATTAAATAAACACAATGACTCACTGATAGTAGATTAATTAATGTAAATGAACTAAGCAAGACCTTAAGGATGATGTATGACTCAATGGAAATGTAATTTTATAGCACTTGTATGGGCTTTTCAAAATATATTCCTTATTGGATTCCCAATTTAATTTATTTAGTATTATGTGAATTGTTTTACACATAATAAATGCATAAGTAAGATTTTTGTTGACTATTCAACTAACTTCATTTGTTTTCATAGGTATAAGGATATATCTAATTCCAATGTGGCTTAAACATTTTTAATTTTTGTGGCTTATTTGTATTTAAAAGACAATCTATAAACCTCTTTCTTATATCTTATCATTCATCAGGATAAAAACTTATATTGTGCAATTTAGTTATCTATTAAGCTGCAATTGCCAATGACCTTAAGATATATCTGGTATATAAATAGAGTTTTATTGATACACCAGTTATTATTATGTTTATATTACTGGTATTTAGATAATAACAAAATGTATATGTACTCACGGTTATTTCAGTATTTGTTGCACTAGGTGGTGAACCATTCTCAGTAAATTGTAATCCAAAGTAATCCTTCTCAATTAGATCTAGATGTTGGAACACTAGCTCAAGAAGAGTGCTACCCTTTGCCTTTTTCTAAAAAAATAAATAATAAGTAAGTCAGGGTATGGAAAAAACACATAGCATGTTATGGATATTCTTATATTCTGTATATATCAAATGAAATCATGGGTGCTTGTCAGCAAAGTGAGAACCATGTATGTAAGCAAAAAAATATTAATATTTGATATATTTAGCAGCAAAACATTTAAAAGCAACAGTATTATGATAAAATAAAAATATTTGTAAACAATATTTTTAAGGTAAACTTATTTTACTGTTAAGCTTAAGAAAGGAAGAAAGGAGTTTCTTCATCTGATTCCTAGACAACCAAACACTTCATATATATTCTATTGTAGCTTATGCTTTTGGAATGTATCCCAAAAAAGTTATCCAAATTATCCGAAAATGTACAGGTCTTACCTCGATTTGAAAGGATTGTTGGGTGTCATCCAAAAACAGCACAGTGACATTGAAAATATTTAGCTTTCGTTCTCTCGCGAGCTCGGATGCTCGCACGTTATATGTACCACTGGAACTACTAAATGCACGACGCGATACACTCTCAATCATGTTTCCATCGATTACTCACTACCGGATTCCTATCAGAGAAGTCAACGCCCGACGCTATCGTACACGAATCAACTACCTAATTACACATACCACTAACCCCTAACCTTATGATTCATAACACAATAGACGTTCATGGTTTCTGGTACGCGTTTGACGCAATGAGAGAATTACGATATTACACTGGTAATTGTAATACAGTCTTGTAGTGGTTTTGTAAAGTTAGGCTAATTTAAATTACTTCAGAAGCGCAAATCAAACAAAGCTTTGTTTGTTTTGATCAAAAAATATTTATCAATTAACGCGTGCCTTTAAAAATTAGCGTAATTTATTTTAATTCGTGATTCGTCGACTCCATTGTATATTTCTGAATTCTGAAAAATATGAAATTATGAAAATTATATTATCGTTCGCCAAATGCCAGTAGTAGTTATAAAAGTTTGTCAGTTGTCAGTAATGTAGTTGTCATTGTCATTCTATAAAAACTGAAATTCTAGTGATTCATATGTCACAATGTTGTACATGATATTATTTAATATCTTTTTGTTATTATTATTAAGAAATATTAAGAAAAAAATGTTTCTTTATTCCTGATAGAACAAAAATATATATATGCACGTGCGCGGTAAGGTCAAAAGAACTAAGCCTTGCCGCTACAGAATGTTATGATAGTATTTATTTTTATTGCGGGAAAATCTCTTAAAGGTTTATTTTATATATATTAAATACATATTATGAAATAAACTTTCATTTAAGCGTATTGTGTAATTCGAACGCATCGTTGACTCAACATTCTGACTATATTTTGAAATTTACGATAAAAAATGTGAATAGGCACGAATTATTTACTAAATGAAATGTAGTAGATAAATGTGTTTCAATTTTTATGTAAATATTACATTACCCGAAGTTACTTGTTTTAATCGACCTTGCGATAATGCCATAGCAGTGGTATACATACCATAAACCATTAGTAGTTAGTACTAAATGAAAGATGATAGTTTAATATAATCAGGCAATCTGTCAACGTCAGTGACTGTCATGAGTCAATATTTAAATGAAAAGATTTACAGCGCCCCTAGGCTACGTGCAAAACAAAATTTCTTAAATCTCTCACGGAAAAAGATTTAGTAAAATAGGATAAAATTGTCTATAGGTGATAATAAAATGAATAAAACAAGAATTCAAACAGTTATCTGCCTTTAATCTGCATTTCTTCATAAACCAGCAGCCATATCATTCAATCGGTACCATTACAGGAAGAGAAATTAATCACTATTAGATACTGTTACAGTTTGGTTTGAATATGTGTTACAGATGAAGTTATGTGTAGATTTCCATAATTTTTAAACTACTATTACTATGTAATTGCGTATGAAAACCAGGGTGCGATGCGATCCATCTCTCAATTATAATAAACTTTATTTAATAACGGACTAGCAGTTTTATAATTAATTAATTATTTTGTACTTAGCATTATTTCTATGCTGACTATTACGCTAATGTTTGAGGGGAATCAGGTTTTTATTTAACGATAAAGCACTATGGTACATCTATTTAAGTATTCGGCTTAATATCGGATAAACGTAGTATCGTTTCTGATAATATTATTCTATAATTAGATTAATTAATCCCGGATCGGTTGGTGTAAAGAAAAACCTGTTTCCTTAATATGATTGAGACATCGCATCGCACATAGACACTGTATACCGTACTGATTTGTTTGTGTGTGTGATGTGCAAAGTCGTAAAAAATCCGTTTAACGATAATTTTGATTATGGCCGAACCCTCCACTTTAAATACACATTTTTTGCATTTGTAATAATTTTTGAAAATATAAATTTTGATAATATTTTTTCCCTTTTGTTCCTAAATATTAATCCAAATAGTTTTATTATCCTTAATATTGTATTTACAATTTTTTCAACAGCCGAAAAATATGTTCAATATTTTTAATAATATTTTTTAACGACTCTTGTTAAGTAGTAGGTAACAGTACAAATATTATTCATCACAAGTTGGTTTTCATTGGTCATTAACATACGTTAAATTACGTCTTAAATCTATTTCTGAACGAATAGCAGTAGGTCTTCTGTTAGGAAATGTTTGGGGCTCTTCGCCGTAAAATTCTGAGTGGTGTCGGTACTTGGAATATTTATCTATCGCCATCTGAGTCATGTACAAAATATAACCGTTTAGTGAGTTTTGTTGAAAAGAAAAATTCAAAAATCGTGCATACATTTTGGATTCAATTGCTTAAATCAAATATAATTTCAATTTTTTTGAAAATTCTATATTTCAAAATCTACTTTCCAAATGCGAGGTAATTTTATTAGTTTTTGTTGGATTCCAAAAAATATGCACTCCAGACCTGCTGCTAAACGTATGACATGTTAAAACAAATGGAGTATTCGCAAACATTGAAATAAAGGCTTTCAAGGAATTATCGCAACAAATTTCTAACTTGTATACACAAATCTTACAAAGCTAAAAACTTATACTAAACTACAACTAATAATACATTTAAACTAAACGAACAATATTTACATTACGACAATGCATTTATACATATTGTTTTATATCTATCTAATAACAGAAAAACTAAGAGTCGAAAAAGATAGGCCACTAAGACTGACACATTCACTACATATTCTAAACTATACGGTGCACATTTCGCTAAAAACAAAAGAACTCAGAGTAAAAATAAATAACCTTACTATGAGATTTCACGTTGTACTTATTTACAAAATGCATTCACAACTCATTCAAGGAAACGAAAAGCCAATATTAATTTTGTACTAAACACCTAGTTATTCTACGAACAATTTATATTGTTAAAATAGCTACATCGAGACGAGTATATCAGTCAAAATGTTTTATTTTACATAAACATTCCATTAAAAACTTATTACTTTACTAAACTTGGCTGGAATCGTCAGATTCGAGTAAGGCCAGACCGTAAGCTAAAATAACGAATTTTAAATCTCCCTTTTGTTTGAACGGGGATCGAAGATAAAATATTTATCGCAAAGACAAAAGACATCGGTCACCCAGACAAGTACTATCCGACAGACGTGAAAAGGTCACGTGATCAAGCGTTAGATAGAGGTAATCTATGATTAAAGATTAATAAGGCTATGTACGTCTGTCGCATAATATTTGTCGTATTGTCTGTATTCTAATATGTCAAACCTGTCAAAATATTAGTTACAGCTTTGTAGCTAGACGTGAGAATTATTAAAACACGGTCCTTATAAAATGCATTTAAAGATCGGTGTTTATATAATAAAGAAATAATTATAATCACTTTCTTAAAACAGGGGCAAAATGATCTAATCATAATAATCCTTTTAACAGTTGTCCCTTAAAATCAAACTAAAAAGTTAACGATTTAAATCGATCTGTCTCTTTTCGTCATAGCGTAAACACGGATATAAGAGACAAAAACTTCAATTCGAATACATAAGTAGTTTAAGAGAGCTTTTTACTTATTAAACAATTTTTAAAACAAGGATATTTAGATAAAATTAAGGGTATAACTGTTCGCCTTGTTTATGAACGAATTCATCGATTTTAGACCATTTTGACAGTTACTAAAGTCACGATATGTCAAACCATTTTCATATCTACGAGGGTCTATTAAATCTGCTACTGACTTCCTTTTATTCATAAAACTAGATCAGTCGTAATACACTGTCACAATAATATATCTTTTCACCACAGCGTACACACAATTTGACAGAGTATTTAAAATTGTGTAAAAAGACTGATTTGTTATGAATAACATGGGGGTTTGTGCAGGTCAAATAGCTATTTTTTTCAGGTCAAGAGGCGTTTTAAACAAATGACAATAATAATACATTAAAATAGTTGACGTTAAATATGACAGTAACATTAAACCATTCCTTTTGACATCATTCGTACAGTATTTTTCAAAGCCTGACGTTTGTTGCAAAACCATATTCTGATAACTTCACGTTCGTAGCCTAGTTGATGCGCGAGACCAGTTATTTCCGTACCTGGAAAAATATAATTATAATTATTTATTTGTACAACACATTTGTATAAAAGATATAATTTGGAAGCGCATTTTTTATTTAATTTTATTTGCTTTGGATACGAATTGATCAGTGTCCTGGGTGCTTTTGCATGCATTTTATAAATTAAAGCTGATTTACCAGCATTCTGTGCCCAACCTGAAACAGTTTTTTTTCTTAGAATTGAACCTAGGACTTATTCAATAACTATCTCATTCAATTAAAACCTAAAATAGCCATTAGACATTTTGTTCTCATCATTACAATAATGGCGACAAAAGTCAAAATCATTTATTCGTATAGGTAATTTAACATTCGCTCGAATGGTGAAGGAAAATATCGTGAGGAAACCGGCTTGCCTTAAACCCATAAAGTCGACAGCGTGTGTCAGGCACAAGAGGCTGATCACCTACTTGCCTATTAGATCATGAAATAGATACAGGCATCTGAGGCACATACCTTAGTTGTAGCGCCACTGTTTTATTTATTTTTTTATATACTCGTAATCAACAATAATTATTATATAATATGCTTGTTTATGAACGCGCCCTGAGAACGACTAGCTAAGAAAAAAGATTCATAGTTGTCACTTTCGTACGTCGAAATCCAATTTGACTAACGGCGGTCAAACTTAGCGCTATTAAGTATCTGTATGACCCCTGTTCAGCGGCCAGTTATTAGATAGCCTAACACTAAGCATCACAAAAAGTAAGATCAAAACTATTTTTATATGAATTTGTCGCGCTCCTAAACATTTTACAATTATATAAACCAGAGGTTTTCTAATGTAACATATCATGATTTTATTATATTATTCAGTAAAATAAAACAATTGGTTGTCTGTAAAGTCGATTTATGGACGTGATAATGTCATAAGAAAACATTGACGAAAAATTGCATACTTTTATGATTTGAATTGAATTATTATCACTAAATTATCATTATTTTGTATAATACAAAGAAGGATTTTCACTTCACATTATAAACAGTTGACAGTTCACCAATAGGTGGTGTACTGCTGCTGTCTCTTTTACTTGGACGCATCGGCCGATGTTTGGAAAAGAGATAAATGCGTCACAAGCCAAACGCTTAGGCCGATCGTGCCTCTCTATCGCTTGTTTCGCGCTCTCGCTTGCACGTAGGCGGTACGTGAAAATGAATCATGTTTTTTCGTGCGTGCAGCCGACGTTATAAGACGTTATCACGTCAATAAATAAAAACTAAATGTAAAAAAGCTCTTCTAGCAAATAGCTTTAGTTAACAAATCGTACCTGATGGATGAGTATTTCTTTCGAAGTGCGCATTAAGGAGTTCTAAGGCTTGTGGTGTGAAGGACGTGCGCCGTTTCCGCTTCTTACTTGGTTCCATACCAATAAAATCTGTCAGATGATTCTGGCCCGATGCATACCTGTAAATTAAAATTAATAATTATATCCACACTTTTATACTACTGGGTATTGTGTTTTTGAGAAGTGTGTAGTGTGTGTAACGACGACATTGTTCTAGCATAAGTAAACGTTTTGCGTATTTTTAATATAGAGAACATCTAGAAACTTTCACCTGCAATACCATCGCTGAGGAAATTGCTAATCTTAATTCGTTTAAGCCGTGTAACGAACAAGTCTAAAGTGAATAGAAATAATAAACGTGTTAACCGGAACATTTGAAATTCACAGGTATCCAAAATCAAGAAATACAGGGAGAGAGATTTTCGTAATATACACTCCAACTTCCAAGTTCACATCACAAATAAGCCTGACTAATGTAAATAATGAACCTTGGTCTGGTTTCATAATGCGAATGCTATTTGAATACCCTTACATAAATGAATGAGATATTGATGCATTTATGTAGCTTTTTGTATGAAACTTATTGCATCAGTAAGAGATTTTTACTTATGCAGTTTAAGATTTTTGTCCAGTAAAGCGTCTACACACGGCCCTAAAATCAGAGGCAAAATCTGGGAAGTGGTGGAGGGCACCCTAGGTTGCTCCTTAGACCGCCGTGTGTAGGCAAATCGTACCCTAATTATCAACTAGTGCCGATTCAAACTACGAGCCGATTTCATCCCCACCACCATTGTCCCGATATCGCCACTGATTTTTGGGCCATGTGAAGACGCTTTTATATGCAAAATACATCATACGATTAGTTCGTATACTAAAATTAATAACACATCGTTATTTGAAGCCTACATATGATTTCAATTTATGTACCGCGACGCGATTGAAGCGGGTAGATGTGCTGGGAAAACCCATGTGAAAGAAACCACACGTTCCGTTTATATAAAAAATCACCAATTTTTGTATATTATTAGTAATAATTTTAGTGTATTTTATAAATATATGCCACGTATTTCGTAGGTATTATTAACATAATATTATTAATCGAGGGCTTTTGAAGCTGGTAGATATGCTGGGAAAACCCGTGTCAAAAGTACCCACACATTCCGTTTCCACACAAAAAAAAAACAAATTTTTGTATATTATTAGTAACAATTTTAGTGTATTTTATAAATCTTCACCACGTACTTTGTATTATTGACATAAAAACCGAGCGCTTTTGTAAAAACCGAAGAAACAAAAGCGTTTTCAAGAGTGTGTAACCTGTAACTGTAGGTCTCATACAAGGTAACCAATCTAAAACAGAGGGTTAAAATAAAAATAAACAAGTCAGCCGTGATTAAAGTTAAATGGATGATTTGTTAGTTACCTTAATGAAGACGAGACTGAATCTATATCAGAAATTAATTCAAGTACAATTCGTTGGCAGGGGCGCTCGTTAAAAATTACCACCAAGAGGGACAACCGATTGCAAATTCAACGCACCATTTGCAATGTTAAACCATTCCCGTTGCATTCACATAATGCATTTTAATGATGCAAAATGTATAATCGATAGAGACAAGGGGGCTTTATAAGATGTTAAGTGGTAGATGGGGAATAAACCCGGTATGCTTATGCAACTTTCAAGATAACGGTGAACACGACGCAGAATCGGGGCCGCTCCTATATCCGAAAAGTTCGTAAACGCACACGCAACACACCGTTGAACAAATACTTCAATCAAATGAAATATTTCTACATCGGCCTACGTTAGTAAACAAGCAATACGATAACAAAAAAGCATAACGACAGCGCAGTTAGTCCAGATTTGAGAAATGTTCATCATCGCTAAGCGTTAAGGCCAAATGACACGACGGTAATACAATATTCACTCAAACAATATTTACCTCTCCTCGGCTTCCTTCATCCAACGTTCGAGCACCGGTTTGATTTTCTGCGCACTTTTTGGTGTTATATCCAATTTCTCAAATCTGTATCGAACATAAATTAGAATGTTAGACTTGAACGGACCGAACGGAAAGCATAACGCACGGTTGCCTCATCCCGAGATAATTTAATTTCCAAATTAACAGAGTAATTGCAGGACATTGACATAGCGTTAACGATTGAAGATACAGAAAAAACAATGGGCAATTTAGGCCAGGGTAATCAGTTTGATTAATACCGAACGTAACAATAAAATGAATTCAATTAGAAGCGAAAGGTAACGTATGCCAATGCCCTGGCTTTGAATTGCGCGAACTGAATATTAATATAAATAAAAAAAGTAATGAAATAATACATCAAGCTTTAGATGGAAAGTCTGAAATTACACGTCGTGTTACAAATAACTAATCAGATAAAGTTCTCATAACAATTATTCATAATGTCGAACGGCGCATTTGGTAGCCGACGTTAATGGCTTTGTCTTAACTATTGTAACGTTCTTCTGATGTATAGCGCCTTCTTACCATAATTACTCGTATGTAAATACGGTATACGTGTGAAAAGGAAAAGAAAGGAACTCCAAAACCGGTAATTAGACATAATTGTATGCGGCTTACACTCACGTGGTATGCATGGATCGCCGATCAAGATTAGATTATATTAAACAGCGTTGAAAGATTTAAAGACAAGTTATGTACGGTCGTAGTGAAGCGTGTGCTTAATGCATGTAACAGGCTGGTGTAATTCAGAAGCTATCACCATTGGAACTTAAAGTTTTAATCGAGCTGAATATAGTCAAGTTCTGAGATGGTGTTAACTTCAGATGTGTGGATATAAAACAAAACACGTACATGTTTTGTTGTTGTGAAGACAGTTGAGCTGCTAGCATCTGCGAAGCCAGGGCACTGGGGACGGTAACAAATAATATGTTAGATAATCCATCAGAAAACCTAAATAACTAGATTATTTTGAGCCGCACGCTTGGTTTTCAAAGGTTTTAAATTAGGTCATTTTAAGGATACAATTAGTCGAAATTACATATGTTGAAACGATATTATTTCTATAAAGAATTGTAAAATGCGTTGACGCAGTTACGTTAATATGAAATTATAATTGTACCCTTTTGAATGTATGGATAATTCAGTGTATTCGATCATGAGCTCAATGACCATTAAACATATTTGGATAAAAGATCCGTTACATTCGATATTTTGAAATAAGTTCTACAGTTGATTTTGTTCCCTTTGGAGATGAGACCTGGTCCGTGGGGTTCACAGGCACTAATTAAAGTTTTTAGTTGATATTACCGGTGACCCCAGAGCTGGTGCTTTCCTCGCTCAACGAATAATATCGCAATACAGAGAGGAAATGCTGCCAGCGTTAGAGGTACACTGCCACGGGGACTTTTTAATTTTGTTTTTTCTATTTTTATTATTATTACTGTATAGGTTAAGGATGTTGTATATTTGTGTGTTGGATATATAGTTTTACAATATGTTCATACAATAGTTGACAAATTACTAAAATACAAGCTATAACCAATACTATATTTTCTATTGAACAATTAAATTTGAAGAAATGCCTTACAAGTGAAGTATCTTGATGATATTCCATTTGCACAATTAAAGCTAAGAAATTGAGGTCTATTCAAGTATAATTAATTTCAATTATAATGCAAATTAATTGAGTCCAGCATAATCAAAGGAGTAACTACTGTAGCCACGTCACAATACAAAGTTGAAGGGGAGACGAAAGAAAAATTAATGGAAAATGAAATCAGGACGGGACAAAGACAGGGGAATTTTACTCTTTTAATTACACGAAAAAAGTAATTACGGCAAGATAATTAATTAACTCGAACAGAAGTAACGATTAATGATTTTATTATACGAAGGAGGCCGATTCCGAACTGAAAATACTCCTTCGAGTCATGGCCGTGAAAAACATTTTATATTAATTGATTTAGCTTTAATTGAGTATAATTGCTCGCTATTATTTCGTTTATTTCTAATTTATATTGATTACTTGCTTTTATTAACTCTAAGATGTATTTGTTATATGTAAATCTTAGCTCGTTTCTGGTGAGAAGATTCAGAACAAAAATTATTTAGGCTAAAATTATTCTGATAACAATGTATGAGTAATTAGACAATTAATTTTTTATCCAAGACATTACTCAGTGTTCTTAACTCATCAGCTATTCATAAACATAATTTACAATGTGTCAGACATTAACATTATGGCCACAGAAGCGTAAAATAATAAATCTACATTTCAGAAGGCCCGTCTAGTACCAAAAATGGCGTCCGAGACACCGAAACGGAACGGAAGCCGAATCGTAATTAATTAAACCAACTGGAAGCAATGAAAGGAGTCACGCTGTTTTACAAATCACTTCAATTAGCGATATTAAAAAGTGTGATAACTGTACTCGGACTGCGTGACGGCGCAACTAAAACCTCTTTTGTTGGCCTCGTGGGGTTGTCAAGAGTAATTTTTTGTCATTTTTGACAACTTCGTTGGTGTTGCCAGTTTTTATTGCGTGATTTAAGCTACTTTTCAAGCGTGCGACTCTGAATTTTATACTGTAACAGCATTGTATAGTGTTCAATTTCCATTATTAGAACTCTCTAAAACAAATTGTGTTCAAACTTGTCTTAATAAAATCCTACCTGCATATAGCGCTCTGGCTGTACGCGGGTCCTTCTGTAACTGAGAGGGCTTGACCAACTTGAGTCTGAGTGAGGCCTAAACCAAGGCGCCGTAATTTGAATGCTTTCGCAAACTCTTTGATGTCTTCAAGATTTATGCCATCCACCACGTTGCCCGATGATTGGCTAATTGTCGGTTGATCTGTGAATTTTTTAATATTAAGTTTTATACGGGAGCAGTGTTAAACTAAGATAAATAAAAATTTTAAACTTTTCTTTATTCTTAATGTAATATAAATATTTTATTTTCTAAATAAAAAACAATTATTAACTTTGACAAATGATTATCTGAGCAATTTAATAATATTAATTCTCGTGGTCACAGTACAGTATGTAATCACATAAAGAGATCAAAAATATTAGTTTATGCCGTATAACTACTAGTCATCATAGCGTAGTTTTAGAAGAAATGTAACATTATGAAGTTGTGTTTGTAGAATAACGACATATAAATCAAATTCTGACATAAATTAACAAAAAAGGTGGAACAAATAAAAACAGCGTCGATCTTTTCCTTAAATGTGTTTATTATGTGTGACATAAGCGCACTTTGAGTCAATAGAAAGGGGATCGCAAAAGTTGCCATCGCAGCTAAATTACCGTTAGCTAGTGGGCAATTTATGTAATTGGTAGATGGTGGCACTTCCTAATTATGCGGAATGTCATTAGCGCTACAGACGTGCCTCAAGCACCCCCTGCTTAGCTTGCCAATGACAAATTATCCCCATGCCACTGATAATTGTTTTATCGATTATTTTCTCTATGTAGGTCTAGGTCTAGGGCGCCGTTCAAGTATTACGAAAGCAGATTTACTGAAATTTATCCTCCCCCTCCACTTGCCAGCAAAAGTAAGCAAAGCTCTTAAAATAATAATACATGTACAATGTAATAATTTTTTGTAGGAATCCTCGAAAATGTTCGTGGATTTCGTTTTCGAACATAGACAATGTGTGAAAAAGAAGGTAATGAAAACAAAATAATTACTGTTGACGTAATCACCAGATAAGAAAATTACTGACCCCCACCCTCCCCCCTATAGTGCTTACGAAATACTTGAACGGCCCCTAGGTCAGGTTCTTCACACATACAAAAATCAAGTTATTTATCGTAAAATAACTGAAAACAGAGATGTACTCGTATATTTTTAAAATAGCTTAGTTTCTTGTGTCTCATTTCGGAGGCAAAGTCTCTGTTTGGGTAGCAGAGAGAGCGGAGAAAGAGCTAGTTTCAACACTAATATGTCTTTAAATATATGTTACTTTTTTTAAATTGTACCAAAAATATAGCTCAATAAGTAACATTATCGTGTTTGACAAAAACCTTAATATATTTATTAGACCAATTCGACTTAGGGTCCTTCAAAGAGCGTACCAATTCTTAAAAGGCCGGCAAAGCACTTGCGAGCCTTCTGGCAATGTGTCCATGGGCGGCGGTATCACTTAACGTCAGGTGAGGGTACCCGTTTGCCTCCTATTACATAAAACAGACCACAGCACCAAAGAGGTGCTCTGCTTAATGCAGTAGCAACTTTCTCTAGTCAAGACTACAAAGATTAGACAAGGTAGGGTTAGCAAATTGGCAATCGTTTGCTCTTTACCGGTGTACGGTAAATCTTGGATTGCTTAATTTCGTTACACCGATGAATTGTTACTTGTAGGGACTGTAATCACATTATAGATGGGGGATTGAGATTGTTTTCTAATATGCATTTTGGGGAACTTTATTAGATATTTGTTGGCAACACAGAAAACTGTTCAGGCTAAAAATGTTTAACGGATGTAGACAATGCTGATCGTATTTTAGTAATTTTATTAACTTTTTATAAAAAATATGTTAAAATTGTCACTCGTTCAAATCGTAGCATTTAATTAAATGTAAAAAAACTGTTTTTCGTTTAGCCCTTTAATGGGCTATGCAGTGGTCTATTTTTTGAAAATGAAAGACAAGGTAAAAAACAGTGCAATACGTAGCCTTACAAAAATAATAGACGAGGTAACACTCAAAATATTAAAGAGGAAATATGCCGGTCACAAATCCCGCATTTGTGATAGCAGACTGAGAGGAAGATTTGGGAAGAGGAACTCCGTCAGAGGTCGTGTAATATTAAATATAATAATAACATAAACTTAATATAAACTCGAATATTTTACTTGAATATAGTTTTATTTGTGTTTGGCCATAACTATGTTTGATATAGAATCGACAAAAATAATTTTAAAGTCTAAAACCCGTTTGAATATATATTTTTTAGAAAACTGGAAATTTAGCAAATTATTCTTAGTTCTGTGAAGTGGGTTATACACTATCTACAACATCTACAAACACAATTCTTTAGCTAAAAGGCAAAGGCACGCTTACTTCCAACTGGCAACAGTTGCAGAATTTGACAGCAAAACGTAAGTTTTTTTTACTATGTTTTATTAAATGAGGCGCGAAGCAAGATGTAATGCTCCAGCTCCTTACAAGTATCTTATAAAGTAAAATAGTAAGCCATGAAAATGATCGACGGAGAGTTATTGCCAGTTCTTTTCTACCCCATTGATTTGGAAGCTGGCATCATTTCAATTTCTATACGTTTATAAAACTACTAAAGTTACCTAAATGAATAAATATGTTTTGACTTTGACATATACAGGAGCTACTAATTTATAGACTCGATTCTAAATATTAAATGTTATCTGTACTCTTGGGTACCAACTTAAATTGGGCAACACTAGCTGTCTATGGTATAATTGGCATCATTCAATTCAGTACAAGTACTTCGCGTTACACGTTAATTAAAGATAAGGCAATTGGCCGAAGTACACCAAATTCGTATGGCTCAAGATACCGCACTCTTAATTGTTTAATACGTTAAATTAATTAGATACAATTATCGCTCGCGTGTTTCGACTATTGACCCGAGTTACGTGTACAAGAACAATTTAATAAAGTAATGGCAATTAAGTATTTTGGCGATTAGATAGAATTGTTTTGGATATCTCTAATTACAGTATCGGCTGTAAATTTGATGAAATCGTAATAAATTTGTGGGGTATAATTTTGTTTGGGGACATTTGTCTATGATGAAAGTTTGTTAATTGACAGATGTATTTTTATTTGTTGTTTATAGTCTGTTAAATTCGTGTTTGAATTCTATATTGAAGAAATTAAAACAACAAAGTACGACACAAAAATTCATTTTATTTAAAACTCAAAATCAGAATAATAGACCGTTTAATAAATCAACAATTTTATAAAGGATTCCTAGTAACATTAAATACGTACAAACAGTGTACCACTACATACACTATTTGCAATGGGTATGAAAGAATATATAGTTTTTTTCTTTACAGATACATGTCTATAAAGAAAAATTATTCCAAGAGAGAGCGCGAAACATGACAATTGACACCTGTATGTCAAACCCCAATATATTTTTGAGGTACGGGACTGACTTCACTAAGATACTGTACTGTAATGGGTATAAGACAACAGCATACACTTTTTAATAACAATTAAATTATTTTAATACAATGACCAAACTTAAATTTGTTTTAATTTTTCTCTTTATAAATTTTTAATTATTATTATTTCTATGTAGGTTAAGAATATTGTAAATACAATTAAATTAAATTTTATAAAATTTAATTATATAAAGAACATTACAAGTTGTATTTGAAAAGGAACAACTCAATAAATCTATATTATTAAAGATCGTTATAATGAATTCAATTCAAAACATTTCCACGAAAAACCATTCGAATAAATTCGACTTACGGTACTTAGAATTCTTGCACAATTTAAGTAATACCCTCATCAAATCTCTAATATCGAATTTGCGTTTCAAATATTAATGTCGACTTTACATGCTAACACTATTATGATTAGTCGAAAAATATTCTCCATAATCGATTCCGTTATTTCAACGCTCGATTATTCATAATTATTCGATGAACTGGCAACATTTGTAGTTTCAGTAGTTTATGAATTTTGTAAATCGAATTCTGCTGTAATGAGGTTTTATAACAGTAATTAAAAGGAATTAAAATTAGATTTGAGCGTTCGAAAGTTTAACCTTTATATTATCGAAGTTTTCAGTTGGACGTCCGTAATTAAAGACCCATTTCATAATAGCTTTAAAGTGTCGAATAGAAATTGTGTAAATAAAATAAAATTTAATTTAAAGTTATTAAAGTATCTATTCGGTATCATTTTCGTCTATCCAATTATACAAGTTCCTATCGCAAAAAAGGTTAGAAATGTGTTCATTTCGCAATACATTATATTATTTGTTTTGATTGAAAGGAGGTTTCATGCTTCAAGATTTTTTTTAAATTTTTTGCCTTATCGGGTTCTTGTAGTTAGACGTATTCCCGTTAAGTGATAGGGGTTTGCGATAATTTTAACCCCATACGTAGGCATGAACCATTTTTGAGTAATCAATATTTTTTTATGTAAGTCAAAAATGCAACATCAAAATTTTATTAATAAAGTAGCTTTTTAAATCACTTTCTTTATTTATAAAAAAAACGTTACACGTGGGCATTTATCAATATTAAAACAATATCCAAATTTATGTGATGAAAAACGATATTATTATTTTTTTTCCAATGAAATTCCCTTTAAAAACCTTTATGGAACTGGGCTTGTAGTTTAAGAAAAATAGTTTTCTTAGCTCTCCAACGATGCCTAAAAACTATTAATTTAATTATTTATACACTATCCTCCAGTACTAAATCAATACAATAATCTCGAAAAAAATTAAATACATAAGATACACAATACTTAGTTCAAAAAAAAATTAAAAAAACAACAAAGGAATTAGGAGGAGTCAATATCAAACAGTCAACCGCTATAAGTCGAACTCGTATTTTCCATAACGCATGGCAACATTCACTCACGTCATAATGATTACAACTTTCGAAAACAGATGGCGCTAGTAACACGTACTTCAGCGATAATTAACTCTCTTTCAATATCTTTTATCTAAATCTTTTAAAATAGTTTTTAACTAAAAGTGTTAATATGATTAGCCATGAAGTTGCGCTTAGGGTACGAATCAGGCTTAGAGCTCTAAGCCTCAGGCTTAGACTCGTCAAAAACTGAATACATTTTGACATGCATGAGTTCGAGGATGACTATGTCAAATACATAATGGAC